TTTTTTTTTTTTTTTTTTTTTTGGAACGAATTTTTTGAGAGCTATATTTATTGGATTTCAAGCGAATATTACGATTTTTTTGAACTTTCGTCAAGGTTTACAGAGTTACTGTAAGAGGAAAGCTTCAATTTACAAATTCAATTATGAAGAAAAAAAAAATTTCTCGATTTTTTTTTTTCAGGACATTCACAATCCTTTTTCCCGATCGAAAGTAAAAAAAGAAAGAACAACATGGAGACACGAAGACATCCAATCAATCAGGTTAAAATTCAACACTGGTCCATTCAATCTGAACGAACGGTCAGAAATGAGAAACATAAACTATCACCTGACGTTATCTCAATGCTCGATTCTGAAGAGAAGCTGTTCGACGATCGGGATTATGCGAAATGCAGCTCGCTTGCGATCGTGAGCGTTGGTAATTCAGCTGCACGTTGCTTTAAAATTCATACAAAGCGTAGCCATGGCAAGCTTGACCCACTTGAAGATCGTTGAACACCCGCCACCCTCCGTATTTGGCCAGGAACGAGAGTCTAGCCGACGATGTTCATTAAATCCACGACGGGCACAGACAACGGCCGAGGACCTCGGGGACAAGATCTCGCTCGTTGTTCCGTCGTTGGCGTATCGTGGCTTATCATCTGACACGAATAACTCCGCTCGTTACTCCCAGATTCGATTTCCCGATACGTCGATCGCGTCTCTCAGAAGCGATCGAGGGCTCCTCTCGAGGATTCGTTCAAGGTTCTCGACATTTGTCGTGCTTTTCCCTATCCAGAGACGGTTCCTCTCCACAGAACAGCATTTTAAGGGAGTTACACGTGTGTTATTTCAGTAAATCAAATTTATCCAAATTTATCCACTTGGCCATTTTAAAGAATTTTCTAATACATTTTTAAACGGCAGATTCACCGTGCAATCTGATATCTGGTTAATTCACGCTTGTTTTAGAAAAAGAAAATGCACGATTATTGTTGATAATTGTTTTTCAAAATGGAATAGTCGAAAATGAATATTTTCGTCATATCTTGCTGAGATTACTTTCCAGAAGGAAAAGAACGTGCTGTGCAAGTTGATAAAAAAAAAAAAAAAAATTACCTGATGCGTAGAAGCCTTCAAACTACGATAGTAGTCAGAATTTTGCTGAATTTCACTATCGACGAGAAGAT